CTGCACTCCTCAAGGTAAAGCAGGCATCGCGTGTAGTGGGGCTGGAGCTCGGATCGTTCCACAAAGGTCTGCACATTCCCGACGATATTCGAAACCTTGGTGAGCTCCCTCTGTGTAACTTTCGCTGTAGGGTAGTGCCTCGGGTTGCTCGTTATTCTTTAAGTCCAACAAGTGATCGACTCTAACGTGGCGTGGGTGTTGTGCAAACACTATTTTTTGTGGTTAGGCAGTCGGCGAGTCCGTGCGTCTGGCGTAGTGCGTGCGTTGAGTTGTCAAGGGGTGCCGGTGATTCACATAGAGGGGGGGTGGACATCAGCTAAAAAAAAAAACACGCCGCTACTGCTGCCTAACTCGGGTTCTTTCGCCCAGCATGTGATGAGTGATGACCAGACTGCTGTAGCAGGGAAGGCACGACCTTCGCACAAAAGTGTAGAGATGCAGTACATGCATCAATGATGGGGTGTCAATGATGGGGTGTCTAGAAGCACGCGTGTTAGTGTGTGCTACTCTCTATGGCTGATGACAAAAAGCGCTGTGCTCATCAAAACGCACAAACAACGACGACACGACCGCCGCCGATAGCTAGAAGCAGCAGTAGAATAGGACACGCCCTTCCGTCTCGCTCTCCCGGTGTTGTGTGTCTCCGGCCCGTACGTGTTACTGTATGTCTCCTGTCTCTTGCCAGTAGCAGCACCACAGCAGTAGCACCAGAGAACCAAAGAAATACTGCCTCTTTTTTTTTGGCGGGGACGACTGGTCCGTAATTCAAGCTCGGCGCCGAGCACGGATTGAGCTGGAAGCAAGTTGTGACAGCTCGGGCAAAAATGCTACTTGTTGGGAACAAGTGTTGGTTTGTGATATGGTGCCTAGTCTCTTTTGGGTCTTTTATGGTGGGACAGACAGGCAGACAGACACACCCGCAGGTGNGGTGCGGTGGGCAACGCGAACGTTGGCGAATCTAAGCACAAGGAAGTGAAGAAGTCGGCGACATCCGCGAGTGGTCGCGACAACCCGGTTCATATTTTCAGGACTTGGAACGACACCCAAGCCCTGAAAGCGTTGTGCGACGGCGTCAGGTGGAGTGCGAAAGGTCGCGTAGGCGGGGTCGAGGTCACGAAGGAGTTGACAGCTGGCCCTCTCTGCCGGGAAGTGCTTCAGGAGGTGTTCAAGATCTTGCCGTTGCAGACGACTCCAGCAGCCTCGGAAGACGGCACGACGGGAAGAGGGGGGGGGCGGCCGCACGGTTACCAACAGTGGGATGCCGGGTTGGGTCCAAATCGGCTCGAGACCGGTCTGGACGCCCCGGCATGGCAGCAGGCGATATCGAAAACATTGCCATCCGCCGAGCAACTAGAAAAGCGCTACGACGATGCGCTTGGGTGTGGTAGGACCTCGCAGGAGGCGCCATGTAGTAGGCGGACGTGCTCTTTTTGCTGGAGGAACAGAGGCCAAGGCATCGTCCGTCAGACGGTGGTGGTGTTCAACCATTGGGGCCAGGCTCCGGCGGAAGTCAGTGCTGGAATCGGCACCATCCGTGGCGGCCCGGTCAAAGACGCGGGTACCCCTACGTGGGTCCGGTCGGCGGCATCGCGTGGCAACGACGTCGAGATATACCTCAAGGCCGAAGACCAGCGAGCTGGAAACCGAGGGCTAGGTCGCACGACTCTCGGGAAAGTGGCCTATTTTTTCGAGCACCAAGGCAACGACTGGAGACGAGGTGATAGCAGCAACGCAATTCCGGAGGGAGAATTCACCATTTGGGTGGCGGTGGCGGAGTATGTGACAGCAGGAGTTGGCAACAAGCGCAAGGTCGATCCGGTGACCGGTTTGGACATGTTTCGGATGCGCACGTCCCTTACGTTTTTCCCTGCCTCGGCCATCCGGTGCGTAGTGCATATGATGCATGCCTGTTCCACAACTGGGACATCCGCCTGCCGCCTGGTCGACGAGGGGAGCAAGCGGCCGGTATGGCGGTGCAACCTGACAGGAAACCCGAACTACCTCCTCAACAAGTACTTCCACAGTGTTCTGCGGGACTCCATCGCCTGAACCGTGAGTGACGACGAGATGTATGTGCACACTTTGCTCGCTACATTGACGACGGGTTCGTTGTATGCGAGTGACCGTATGCATACCCTTTCTGTCTCCCCTGCCTCCGCAAGTTGTCTGAGATCGGAACCTAGAGCAACCTAGAGCCATACGGCAATCTAGTGATTTAGTTTCATTTCCCTCCTCCACCGCGGACGATCGATGTTTTGTGGTTTGCTGGAAAGAATCAGCAATTGAAGGGCCTTTGCTTCGCATCGAGTAAGCCAAGGAAGGGATACCACCGTACGTTTAGGTTCGTCATCGGAAGGAGTTGGGCTACGGGGGGAGACTGGCAAAGGATCGTGCCTACAACTATGAAAACTGTTTTGCCTCTCTGACACACGCACACATGCAGTTGCCGCTTGCAATGTGCCTGAGCCCCCGTCATGTACTCGAAAATTATCGGTGGGAAACATGGAGTCCTAGGTTTCGCGTTGGTCTTATATTTTACTCTGGTTTTCTGCGACTACCAGGGCATTCGATGTACATGCATGGAGTACCGGAATCCGATAATATAAAAACATGTTGTCTTTGCTCTGTTTTTTAGTTGCATCGCCGGCGTGAATATGTTGCCGTCGACGCCCGACGGGCTGTTTCGCATTCGTGCTGTTTGTTTCTGGGTTCTTGGTTGTTCTCTTTGGTTTGTCCTAGAGTGTGCCCTCTTTGTGTAGGTAGCTTCCAAGCTGTGACCACGGAAGTCGGCCGCGCCATCTGTACTCGTAGGGATTACTTCGTATGGGAGACAAGCAGCAACAACAACAATCCGGAGGCTAAGACCCGCTCTTTGATTCTCGGACCCTACTGATGAGGTACCCCTCCCTCCACTTCCGTCGCGCAATTCCACGCTCCTTATTTGTGATCAATCAGCTCTGTAGATGGGGATACGCGTAGATGACATTTCGGTGCTCTACACATTTTTCCCCGGTTTTTTATCGACTTCCCAGTCGCGGGTCTCATTGGGCGGAGTCAAGCGGGAGGGCGGGGGAGGCGCAAGGAGTGCGGGATGGGAGCGGGATGGGGGCGGAAGGCCACGCCGCGGGGCTGAGCTGCTGTGGAACATGATTCTGCTTGCTTTACGACGTGTATTGTCGGGGGCAGCCTCTGCAAAAAGCACTTCCGGGCCCACCAGAGCCTCTTTGGGGGACAGGCTTGTCAGGATATTTTCGCGAGGAAGTTCATGGCAGGTTAAGGGCACAGCCACTACGGTATGGCCGTAGACCGCCATTTTCGATTGTCGTGGTTGTCTTTGGTGTTGACCGTAAGCAAAGCGTCAGGTTGGAAAAATGAAGCATTCGGAGAGGCCTAAACGTGTGTGTGTGTTTTTTTTTGTAAATGCTCCTGGAGTAATTTTTGGTTTTGGGAAAAAAAAACATGTTTTGCGGGGATCGAACTCCCGGCCTCCTCCTGACTACGCGTGCGTATCATGCGCCTTCGCGATAAATTTTGCGCTTTTTTTTTGGTTTTGGGAAGAAAAAAATTTCGCGGGGACCGAAGTATGGCCCTCCTCCGTATTACGCATATCATATGCCTACTTCTATTTTTTTCTATACGCCTTCGCGAGAAATTTCGAAATTTCGCGAATAATTTGTTGGTTTGGGGAAAAACAAAACACGTTTTGCGGGGATCGAACTCGCGACCTCCTCCTGACAAGTACTACGCTTGTCGTACGCTTTCGCGATAAATTTCGCGCTCACTTTTTTTTTTTGGGGAAGAAAAAGAAATGTTTCCCGGGGACCGAAGTACCGACCTCCTCCGTACGACGCATATCATATGCCTATGCCCTCGCGAGAAATTTCGAAATTTCGCGAATAATTTGTTGGTTTTTCTTGGGGGAAAAAAAACATGTTTTGCGGGGATCGAACCCCAAACCTCCTCCATACTACGCGCATGCATGTCTTTCGCCTTCGATAACTTCGCCCCTCTCCCCGAAAACTTTTACTAAGTGCGGGATCCCCCGGCTTACGTAATCGAGCTCACGTTTCGGACCTGAGGGAGTACCTAATTTTTTTTTGTTTTTGGCCCAATCATCCTCGTGTGGTGTATGTACTCCGTGTGTGTGTGCTTCGTAATCCTTGTGTGGGCTTGTTCCTGGCCTCGACGCGAAGGCTCGCGTCGCTGGGGTGATTGTCACCCAGCTGCGAGCGAGCTTGCACCCATTTGTTTTGGATCGAGGTTGCCAGCCCGACAAGGCAAGGTTAAAATTGATTTCCTAATCCGATAGAAAACCGGCGGTTGGTAACCCAGCATGAAGAGGTTATAGACTACAGCGTATACCCAACCTGGGCAGGTTATGCGCGGGCATAACCTCCCATAACGTGCCCCACCGGCCACCTGTGTTTGTTGTGCAAAGTACCTTTCGCAGTCCGTACTGATCATCAACCATTGGTGCGCCGTACAGCAGTGTTCGGCCGTCGCGATTGCTTTAGCCTGGCATCACAGCAGTAGGGAATTTGTTGCGTTGTACAAGTATGCGTTGATGGCTCTTTTCGGAACACGTCATCATTTGTCTACATACGATCCGTGCACCTCCAGGTAGATGTGGGAGACATCGAACGCTGTAGGATGCAACTATGTAGAATAGTAGCGCGCGCTTTTGCACGCAGCACAGAGTGCGATTGCATGCGAATCTTATTCTCGTCTAGTCTTTCCTCTCTACCTCAGAAAGAGTACTCTAGCCGATGGTTGTCCGTCTTTGCTCACCGTTTTCTTCTCTTCGAAACCGTCGTCGTATGGATACAACAAGAGTAATGACGCATACGTTTGTGCACACCAGATACAGGGATTGATTTGGTGATTGTGTGCGAATGGTAGTCTTCATCTCGTCTGTGCTCTCTACACCACCTTCAAAAAGATACCGACTGTCTCCTAGAGTACCAGCGCGGTGTTCATCGCTCCCCGGACATCGAACATAAATCGTCCCCAGCAAGTCACTCCGCAAGATCGGAAACCTACAAATTGATCGAATTAGGAGCAATTTGGTGCCGGGAGCACCTGCTGCTTGCTCGTGTGTCGTGCTTGACAAGGCTGGATATCGTTACAGTCAAACGTTGACGCAGGAGGCACCAATCACACTGAGACTTGAGGGCGTCTAATGTAGTGCAGGACGGCCGATGGTCTGATTCCTCGCGCCTCGGGCGTACGGCAACGATGTGCGTGATTGGAAGCTTCGGAGTGAACAGCGTCAGACAGACAGGAGACTTTTTCTTTGGCCATTCTGTGAGACCTCTAGTCTAGACCGTAACGGTCTCATAGTGGAAGTTCACGTTTCGGCTTGTGTGCGGTCAAGAAGACAGAGCGCCCTGTTTGGGAGTCGCCTTCAAAGGGCATGTGTATGACCTCACACCAGTGACGGCTTGTTGTGGACGGACGTCGTCCTCCGAAAGTCTCTCTCTGGCATGCGTTCTTGACTGGTCCCACTTTGAGCAACCAGACAAAAAAAAAGCACGCGTCCAAAACGCCAATATCGATACGCACTTCGGTTCACCTTAGCGGGCCGTGCGCTACAGTATCACAACTGGACAACTTGCCCTGCTTCTGGGACGGTTGCGAGGGTAGGGTATGTCATTGGACGATGAACTCACGCCATTGGAACTTGTGGATGTCGTGGGCCTCTAGCCTCGCTCTGGCGTACGTTTTTGACTCGTCACACATGTAGCAGGTACAATAACAGCCATCAACCACCGCATCTGGAGCCTAGATAAACCTAGCGACGGTGACTTTTATTTTAGGCAAGCACCACGTTAACGTGCAGTGAAGCCATGCTTCAGCAATCGTCACCGTTTCAGCGAGCTCATGAACCTCATTCTCAACGGACTTTGCACTCAAAGTATATAAGGTGCAAGACCCAGTGCGGTCGCCTTTCCATCAGAAAGAATGCAACTACGAAGAGACAGACAACATGGTGGGACTTCGATATTTTCCAAACCTACCATATTTGCTGTCGAGCGCAAGGCACGAACGAAAACACGATTTCGACTACAACATAAGGCGTACACGGATAGAGTACATGGCTAAAAGAAAAAGATGCACGCCTCGACACTAGCGTGCGAACAAACTGGTGGGCGCAAGCCGCGAGCTCCCTGAACCTTCCCATGGCCATTTTCCAAGCCCTCCGACATGCCCAAACAGGTATACCCCAATTGCTGCTGAATTGGCCCATTTGCCGCTGAATTTGGCCAGTCTAAAGCTTTTGAATTCGACCAATTTCCTTCGGCCTTCCTCCACGAGATCCCACCTCAACAATCAGCACCCGTTTTTCGGTAAAGGACAGCATCTAATGTAGGCGATACTCCAGTCACCCCCGGCATAAAAGTGAGCCTTATACACTGAACACAAGCCACTATCCTGCAGAACAACGTCCAGGGCAAATTGCTCTCCGCGCTTACCGCTCGGAGCGAGGGTACGACCAAACGAGATCGTGATTGATACGGGTACTGAAAGCAAGAGGCGGCTCTCGCCCATCATGAGAAATGCAAATCGTTGGCCGGTATCGATGGAACGCTAGCCCTGCAACACGTTGTTGTTGAACTGGTTATGGTGTGGCTCGACTCTACAGACTGGTGTTGCTACATACACGAGGAACACACCGAAGAAAGTGACGTTTGAACCGACCCGCGTATCCGGTTGCTGCTTCCAAGCTACTACCCGCTACCGTCGGCACCAACGCCTGTTTCGGTTGCGCCCGCCTTTGCCACCCTGAAAAAAATAGCCCGACCATCCTCATCTTTTCAAAAATGGCAACTCTCATCCAATCGATTCTGGACGTCTGTCTGAACACCTTTTGGTACACACTTCCTGCACGCACCAGTCGGGGAAAAGGTTGGCCACCCAGGAGGAAGCACCACCAATACGTTTTTTTCTCTCCGCCTTCCGTCAAACGGAAGGATATAATACCGCACAATACAAACACAGACGGCGAGGTTGGCCAAGAGGGCCTTCCATCTTTCTACCGCGAGCCACATACTCTGTCCGCCCCTCCAAATTTCCGGAGAACATTCCTTCTCCCGACCTCCTCCCGACCTCCGAACACTTGTATGGGTACGGTGGCATTGATATACGTTTCGACCAAGGAAGGTGGGGTTAGCAGCCGAACTCAGCCGCGATCTCTGAGATCTTCACAGGGCGGCCCTCCTTTGCACTTCGTGCTGCGGCCATTCCTAGACGATTCAAAACGATTCCAAGTCCAATGAAAGACAGGTGGAGGGGGCAGGGAGGGAATGAAAGCCATGCATTCCAAGAAAAAGAAGCGAATGCTACGCAAATCATAATGGTGTATGGACAGGACACGGGGGTGTGTACGCATATGTATGGGTGGGCTACTTCCTTCAAAATGATGCGGAAGAGGTAGGATGCTTGTTGCCCAACACCTTCGGAACAGGCAAGAGGCACATTAAACCGCTGGTGAAGCCACACTGGTGTCGTGTTGTTCTACGTGGTATATTATAGTTAACACATTCAACCTTCTTATATCCCCTGACTGGCCTGACCAGTGAGATCATTTCCGAATTTGGAATTACACATGGTGCAGGGACCAGAGCGGGGTTCGACGTGGAGAACACAGCGCAAGCAGCGCAACAACAGCTACAACAACACCCATCACTGACAATAACGACAGCAGGAGCAACAGATACACCGACAACGTACCGATGAAGATGGTGACCTTGCCGTCGATGCCGAGGGCCGGCTCGAGGGACTCGTCTCCGGTCTTGACGTACTTCACGAAGGCGGACATGATGTTCACGTACGAATCAGCATACCTGTCCAGGAAGAAGCTGTATGGCACACCTGGAGGAAGCATTTCGAACGAGGGCCAAATCAGTACCAAAGCACGACGAGAAGTGCCCGGTTCGTACATCATGCCAGCGAAACCGTCATTGTAGATGCAACCATGGTCAGGATTTGCTATAGAATACATATACTGTATGTGTCATGGACCGAGAACTGTACTCCACAGCGAGTGGTGCCGTACCGCGACGTCTTTCGTTCCTGCTGGAGGACAAGAGTTTGATATGGCAAACATCAACGGCAAAGACAGAAACAGGGATACGACCAATGTAGTTCAATCAATGCTATCGGGACAAGCTCAAAAGCCGTGTCAACACGAGGCCTCGCTACCCCTTCCCACACCGGTACTACAGAACGCAACCTTTCGCATGAAACGAACGATGCATGGAGATAGATACCACTAGTATAACACATAGATTAGCCCAAGATATTCGCGCCTAGAAGTACTAAAACGTACAAAATACTCTTTTATCCAGCTCCGCCAACTGAGTTACCCACCAGCGTTGAGGCCGTCCTTGTTGTTGACCAACACATTCTGCGGGGAGCGGTTGGCGCCTGAGATAGACCCGCCGGCGCCAAAGACTTCGACACGCTGGTCGTACCCGAAGGAGCAGCGCCTCGAGTTCTCGATCACGCCGAAGGCCCCGTTCTGAGGAGTAGAAAATGAACAAACGCAGCGTTGGTCGAGGCGATGCCCGTAGTTGTGACACACGTGGTGTTACTGTTTCAAGCAAGACCTCATGCGATCTTACCAAAAGCTTTCCCGAAACAATATGCAGGAAAAATATCAAATAAAACCATGTTTCAAACTTTTTGAAAGCTTTCGGAGTTATTGCGCCGTACGAAACAGGGTAAATGTTACAGCGGCGGTAACGAGCAAGATCAACACATGATAGATTTTTGCATGTCGCCCGTTTCCCAGTTCTGGTGCAGCAAATCTGAACCACGCGAATCGGACAAGAACCAGGCAACGATTCCTGCGTGGCCACGATCGAAATCGTCGTAATCCGACTACGAAGACAATCGGACAATCGGTTGCTGATAGACTCACTGTACTGTGCACAGACTTACACACCAAGGGCTGACTGGCAGTGACAAACTTGCGAAGAAGAACGGACTGGTCGTAGACACGCTGGTGGAAATCGACACGACAAGCGGACTGGCCGTAGAGAGACTTGATCGTTCGATTCGACGAAAGGGAGGGAGGTTAAGGTTGGCTACTCCTTCACTTCACTCCACCTTGAACTTGAGGTGGGTGTTTGCGGTGTCGAAGTCGTCGGCCTCCTTAGCCTCCGGGTCAAAGGCGGTAGCGGTAACGAAGACCTCGTCGATCTCGTCACCAACCTGAAACACGACATCAAAAGAAGAACAGGCCTTGTGAACCCACAGAAACGCCATGGGGGTAGCAAGGAAAAACACGGACCAAAACAAGTCCCGAGCGTTTGCTTCACGTACAGCAGTGCTCGACCACCCTTGATGGAACCTGAGGTACCGTATAAAGATGAAGTTCAAAGAGTCACAGCAGTCACTAGAGGCAACCAAATAGCCATGGCGGAGTAGGCACCCGAAAAACAGGGATGAGGGTGGTAGTGCATCGAGCCTACTCAAGTAATATACAAAAGCACTTCGTGAGCCCCCTCGTAATTAGACAAAACGGGGTATCATACGTAGCACATCGAGCAAGCACCTATTCCGCTCCAAGTACACGTGTGCGAGAGACGTCGTCACCAGAGCAATACACTTTAGCGCACGATGTGTCCCCCTTACCATGCGCCTTGCGTAAAGTGGGTTTTACACAATCCGCACAACGAGAGACGTGAAAAAAAAAATGCATACATACACATTCTTGTTTTCGGCCTTCCGGCCCTCTGAGGGGGTAGGGGCGGGGGTACCGAAGTGTGCGACACCACTTTTTTGTGCACTCTTGGCGAAAATCAGAGCAAAAAAATCCTCCTGTACATGCACTGTATTGTACTGTTATGTCCATGAACTGAACGCACCAGGAAGCGGGCCATGTCGAAGTCGTGGCTGGTCATATCCATGAAGATGCCGCCGCTGTTCTGCAGGTAGGCCACCGGGGGCGGCGCGGGGTCGCGGCTAGTGATGTGGATGGTGCGCACGTCTCCGATAGTGCCCTCGTTGATCTGACAACAGAAAAAAAAAAAAGCAGCAGCGGAAGCGGAGGGGTCATGACTTGACCACACGTGCGCGACGATAGCACCAGAAGCACTCCAACGGCAACAGCGACAACAACAACGGCGACAGCCAGCAACATTCCTTGCAGAGAGATACATACCGTGTAATGCGCCGGTCGCCCCGGTGGTCTAGATGGTTTCCTCGAAACCTTCTAGAGTTCAGCTCAGGGGTTCGAATCCCGGCGCAAGCGAGCTTTTCATGCAAAGTGAGTTTTTCTCTCGCTTCCGTTCCTGGCCTAGTAGATAGCGCTACTTCGTGTGTACACAGAGGGAGGAGAGTGCTGAACTCTTCTAGCATTAACAATCGAAGGCAAAGCACCGCAGGAGGGCAGGGTAGGGAGGGGCTTCTCTAAGTGACCACGGGTTGGAGTAAAACGGCACTCTCGTGCTGTGAGCGCTGACTTGAAGTGAAGACCAAAAAAAAATAACACAAGGCATTCCATACAACCTTCTCGCGGATGGTGCGGAAGTTGGAGTCGAACCGCCTCTGGAAGCCGAGGAGCAGCTTCACGTCGTTGTCCGCTACGGCCTTAAGGGCCACGTCGATCGTCGGCACGTCGAAAGAGATCGGCTGCAGGATCAAGACAAAAACGGGAACAGCATCACACGTCGGAGTCATGGCGAGGAAGGGCTAACGTAACGCAACAAATTTGCATGATGACCGACGGTATGACTCCGACATGGTGGGCAAGCATTACTTCTAAGTGACGGGGTCCTTCGTCATGAACGTGTGAACCACAGAATAACGTCAGATAAGGTTAGATCAGCCAGACTGTTGAAAGAAGACCGACATAAAATGGTGTATCCCGACAAGGAATAAAAACGAACGAAGTTCAAACGAGATAGGCAAAAGAAAAAAGAAATGGCAAGCTGCGAGAAAGTCAAGGCCAAAGTCAGCTGCTATGCATACATAGTCAATACAATGCCATCGAGATGGAACTCATTCTGGCAAAAATGGTTCGATCGGGGTTGACGCTGTGTACAGGACCATTTTCCAATTTAGCAACCCTCGTATATTTTAATCCTTGCCAGACGGGAGGTCGCTGGTCTGACCTTCTCGCAGAAGATGTGCTTGCCGAGCTTGGCCGCCTCGATGATCTGCTCGGCATGGAACGGTGTTGGCGATCCCACCACGATGGCCCCCACCTCGGGGTCGTGCACCATCTCCTTCCAGTCCTATCACACATTCATACATTCATACGAGTATATTAATATTGTACCAAGCGAACACAAACGTCGCCCCGGTGGTCTAGTGGGTAACCCCGCAGCCTGCTAAGCGCCAGGTCATGGGTTCGAGTCCCGACAGAGTGCGTTCTTTTCTCACTAATTAAATGCTGGGGCTCCGTTGGAAGCGATGGCTGAAAAGCGCTTTGTTAGTAAACTTGATCTACTTCATAAGTCGCGAGGGAAGGGATTGCTGTACCCTTCTCGCGATAAAAA